GGTACATGGTGCGTTCGTATATTACATAGCTGGTACATGGTGCGTTCGTATATTACATAGCTGGTACATGGTGCGTTCGTATATTACATAGCTGGTACATGGTGCGTTCGTATATTACATAGCTGGTACATGGTGCGTTCGTATATTACATAGCTGGTACATGGTGCGTTCGTATATTACATAGCTGGTACATGGTGCGTTCGTATATTACATAGCTGGTACATGGTGCGTTCGTATATTACATAGCTGGTACATGGTGCGTTCGTATATTACATAGCTGGTACATGGTGCGTTCGTATATTACATAGCTGGTACATGGTGCGTTCGTATATTACATAGCTGGTACATGGTGCGTTCGTATATTACATAGCTGGTACATGGTGCGTTCGTATATTACATAGCTGGTACATGTGTGTTCGTACTTTATTTAGCTGGTACATGGTGCGTTCGTACATTACCTAGCTGGTACATGGGGCGTTCGTACATTACCTGGCTTGAACATGGTGCATTCGTATATTACATAGCTGGTACATGTGTGTTCGTACTTTACTTAGCTGGTACATGGTGCGTTCGTATATTACCTAGCCGGTACATGGTGCGTTCGTATATTACATAGCTGCTACATGTGTGTTCGTACTTTATTTAGCTGGTACATGGTGCGTTCGTACATTACCTAGCCGGTACATGGTGCGTTCGTACATAACCTAGCCGGTACATGGTGCGTTCGTACATTACCTAGCTGGTACATGGTGCGTTCGTACATGACATAGCCGATACATGTGCTTTCGTACTTTACTTAACTGGTACATGGTGCTTTCGTACTTTACCTAGCTGGTACATGGTGCGTTCGTACATTACTTAACTGGTACATGGCGCTTTGGTTCTTTACTTTACTGGTACATGGCGCGTTCGTACATTACTTTACTGGTACATGGTGCTTTCGTACTTTACCCAGCTGGTACATGGTGTGTTCGTACTTTACCTAGCTTGTACATGGTGCGTTCGTACGTTGCCCGTTTCACATTATCTGTTACAGAGTGCGTTTGTAAATTAAATCGTACACGGTGCCTTTGTACATTACATATATAGTTGGTACAAGGTGCGTTTGACAATACCTGGTACAGAGTGCGTTCGTACATGTCAATTATTTGGTACATGGTGCGATCGTTACCTAGCTGGTACATGATGCGTTCGTACGTTGCCAGATCCACATGATCTGGTGCGTGTGTCCGTTAAATCGTACACGATGCCCTCGTACATTACATAGCTGGTTTAAACAGCTCATGAACATACAAGAATTAATGATCCGTCAAAAACGTAAGTTGTTCAGTAGGTCAACAATGTTATTATTATAGTTTATCAAACTTTCTCTTGTGATTTTCAACATGACATATATAAGCGACAGGTACGATAAAGTGATAAGACCCTGATCCTGAGATAGGACTGCTTTGTATCCCTACACCCGTCTAGTGCTGTACAGATAGATATCTACCTGTGTAGTAGAACACCCTATATCGATATACACAAATGTAGCGTGCCAGATGGCTTGTGGATGTCTCTTTGTGCATAAACTTCATACTGTTTTACTTTGAATAAGTCAGATTTATATCTTATACACATACGCAGATCGATCACTAGGAGTGTGACAGAAGTATTCAATAATCGCACAGGGTTGCAAGCTTATGACTAAAAAGAGATTAAGGTAAATCCATTTGGTCCGTTATTACGAGTAATATTTTTCATTACGTTCATGGTAACTTTCAAAATAGCTTAGTCTTTCAGTATATTGATCGTGCTAACTTAGCTATTGTTCTGTAGATTACTGGTATGAAACCCGGCATTAAAGGTCGGCCATAGTAAGAAAACAGAAGTTATTTGTGTAGTATCGTTGGGTTATATAGGGTTTAAGTGTTATGCCATTTGTTAGTGTAGGAAACGTCTGCTTTGAAAGACAGCACAGTTGACAGTAGCGTTAATACTAACGAGTGGGAAAATCTACAGTTTAAATATCCAGAGGAAATACTCACTCCTACACGGTAATGTAATGTTGGTTATGACTGCAGAGGGATTTAAACCAGGCCGGTGAAGACACCTGGGATTATACATAGTGCTACCATCTAGTAATATTGAGCCTTATTACTCGCTGTGAAGTATGTGTTTTATTTGAATACAAAGCTGAACTGCTGTGATTCCATTACATCTGTGACCATTTGATGACTTCCGTGTTTTATTTGACGTCTCCCTGGTATGTTTCTGAAGAGGAGTCTGGGTAATGGGGATTAGTATGAGGACTTTTGTACATATTTACTATGGCAACACATCAGACCGTACCTTCTCCAGATTCTCCGCATATGACGTCACCAGTTGCTTTCGTGCAGCCGCGACACAAGGATAAGGGATCATACGTACAAAGATTGAAGGTGTTGCGTGAACGAAATCGAAACTTACCTAAACTTGACTTCAATGTCAATAAATCTGCTACCAAGGTATGTAAATAACCAAACCTATTCTTGTAAGACCTCCTGAGGGAGATAGATATGAATAATTGCTGGATACCCACTCTAGGTTTTGTTTTTTAGACCGGTTGTTATGATAGTATACCCATGGCAGTTATACGTACAAGTGGTCTAAAAGGGATGGCTTTATTTCCAGTTAAACTGAATATGGATTTGTAATAATATGTAATGGTTTGTTTATACTTACTTATCACATATAATCTGTAGATGCATTATTTCAGTGTCAAATGATCCTATTTAAAGATCTATGACCTGAACAACAGTTGATTTGTTGACAGATATGGACAGAATGACGAGTATGTGCTGGGTTTCTGTGTCATAATCACCGTCGTTATCTAACCACCAAATAACAGAGGTTTGCCCAGGTGGTGCTCGCAACTTTACCCTACAGTAGGATCTCGTTTGACATGATCTCGCCACCGTTTGTGTTAGGGGTTTGATGTTGCTCTCATTTCTCTTGGATTTCTCTGTGGTTTCGGCTGAGTTATTTTTGTGTCGAATGAAGTGATTTTGCTTTTTAAATAAAGTTTTAAAAGCTTGGAAATTATTTAAAAAAAACGACTGCAAAGATATTATCCTTATGTTATCTTATGGAAATAAATAATATAAAGCTAGTATACATCAGTGTCAAGTGTTTGTATGCCCATGTCATAACATTGCAGTAATAAACAAAATATGGGGAAACTTTCGCCAAGTGTTCTTTTCGCCATTCGGCAGGTATTTTCCTTTAAAGTCATACAGATTTCGTGTCGAGGTCAATTACGACAGAACGTTCTGTTGAAACCTTATTTGATCATGTGCCGAGCAACAAATAGGACTCGATTTGAATAACGAACATACCCGGATATTAACTTCACAACCCTAATAAAAAGGAGGATAAAATGTATATGATGAAACCTTTTTTTTGGGAAACCAATTTCAACGCCAGAGTAACATAGAAAAAACAACAATTACAACCCAGTCAATACACAAAGGACACTATTAGAAACAATGTCTGAATTTGATGATATATGTTTTCGCTGAACGTGGAGACAATTTGACGCAAGTAAATATTGAACAAGGACTTCAAGAAAAACAGCTTTAATTGCGAGTTAAAGATATATTTATATCAGTAAAACTTGTTATCTGTTCAATAATATCTTCTATATAGACATTTTATCAGCAATCTATTCAATAAAATAGGTTTCTTTCCACATCAGATCAAACGATTGTGGGAAAGACCAATAGATCTCACAGAATGACACATTATGATAATCAAGTAGATATTGATTTGTTACGTGGATAGGCGTTAACAAAGTAATATTAAAACTTTTCCTCTGGTGATTCCATAATAGTTTATATATACAGGTACGTTTATCTAATTATCGATTTAAAGTAACACCCAATCTAAGTTTCAGGTGACCAGCAGTACGTGTTCGGGTATGGTTCCAAAAATAATCATAAATGGCGTATATAATCGGATAAGGCCACCAGAGCACTGAGTAGGTAGTTATATGAGATTATAATGTAGTCTTATTCTGAATAAAAAAGTACCAAACAAAAGGGACTTTGACAAGTACTTAAAAACCAAGCATAACATGGATGGTTCGCATGCTAACTTCAGTACTTTAAAGCTCTAAGTAGGTCATCCTTCCAACTATGTATTTAGGAATCTGCCATGAATTTCTTTCTCTGTACCGTACAGGAAATAACTTATTAAACATTCCTACTACACATAGCTCTGTAAGTCGTTACCGTGCCCGAGATAACCACCATCCAACACCTCTGCCCAGAGTTGACCCGGAGCTGTCACAGATGGTGCTGGAATCAGCTTGCGTCCTTGTTCTTTGTTTTGTTGTCTCCTCAAATCCTCTTCCTTTTGTATGTCAGTATGGGTTTATATAATATACTTGTGATAAGCTATTTTCTATTTTGCATTTAAAGAGTTTTCATATAAGCAATATTTAAACAATACCTTTGCGAAGTGTGGTATATGACGGTGGTTTTCAATAGTCAGTCGACATTGCGTTGATATACTCTTAAGACAGCATTGTGACCTTATTGTATTTATTGGCCGTGGGGACTACTGTGTGACCCTGTATGTCCTTATTGTATTGATTGGCCGTGGATACTACTGTGTGGCGCTGTATGTCCTTATTGTATTGATTGTCTGTGGAGACTACTGTGTGGCCCTGTATGTCCTTATTGTATTGATTGGCCGTGGAGACTACTGTGTGTCCCTGTATGTCCTTATTGTATTGATTGGCCGTGGATACTACTGTGTGGCGCTGTATGTCCTTATTGTATTGATTGTCTGTGGAGACTACTGTGTGGCCCTGTATGTCCTTATTGTATTGATTGGCCGTGGGGCTACTGTGTGACCCTGTATGTCCTTATTGTATTGATTGGCCGTGGAGACTACTGTGTGACCCTGTATGTCCATATTGTATTGATTGGCCTTGGAGACTACTGTGTGGCCCTGTATGACCTTATTGTATTGATTGGCCGTGGGGACTACTATGTGACCCTGTATGTCCTTATTGTATTGATTGGCGGTGGAGGCTACTGTTGCCCTGTATGTCCTTAATGTATTGATTGGCCGTGGAGACTACTGTGTGGCCCTGTATGTCCTTATTGTATCGATTGGCCGTGGAGACTACTGTGTGGCCCTGTATGTCCGTATTGTATTGATTGACCGTGGAGACTACAGTGTGGCGCTGTATGTCCTTATTGTATTGATTGGCCTTGGAGACTACAGTGTGGCCCTGTATGTCCGTATTGTATTGATTGACCGTGGAGACTACAGTGTGGCGCTGTATGTCCTTATTGTATTGATTGGCCTTGGAGACTACAGTGTGGCCCTGTATGTCCTTATTGTATTGATTGGCCGTGGAGACTACTGTGTGGCCCTGTATGTCCGTTTGTATTGCCGTGTAGACTACTGTGTGGCCCTGTATGCCTTAATGTATTGATTGGCCGTGGACACTACTGTGTGGCCCTGTATGTCCTTATTGTATTGATTGGCCGTGAAGACTACTGTGTGGCCCTGTATGTCCTTATCGTATTGATTGTCCGTGGAGACTACTGTGTGGCCCTGTATGACCTTATTGTATTGATTGGCCGTGGAGACTACTGTGTGGCCCTGTATGTCCTTATTGTATTGATTGTCCGTGGGGACTACTGTGTGGCCCTGTATGTCCTTATTGTATTGATTGTCCGTGGAGATTAATGTGCGGCCCTGTATGTCCTTATTGTATTGATTGGCCGTGGGGACTACTGTGTGACCCTGTATGTCCTTATTGTATTGATTGGCCGTGGAGACTACTGCGTGGCCCTGTGTGTCCTTAATGTATTGATTGGCCGTGGAGACTACTGTGTGGCCCTGTATGTCCTTATTGTATTGATTGGCCGTGGAGACTACTGTGTGTCCCTGTATGTCCTTATTGTATTGATTAGCCGTGTAGACTACTGTGTGGCCCTGTATGTTCTTATTGTATTGATTGGCGGTGGAGACTACTGTGTGGCCCTGTATGTCCTTATTGTATTGATTGGCCGTGGAGACTACTGTGTGGCCCTGTATGTCCGTATTGAATTGATTGGCCGTGTAGACTACAGTGTGGCGCTGTATGTCCTTATTGTATTGATTGGCCTTGGAGACTACTGTCTGGCCCTGTATGTCCTTATTGTATTGATTGGCCGTGGAGACTACTGTGTGGCCCTGTATGTCCGTTTGTATTGCCGTGGAGACGACTGTGTGGCCCTGTATGTCCTTAATGTATTGATTGGCCGTGGAGACTACTGTGTGGCCTTGTGTGTCCTTATTGTATTGATTGGCTGTGGAGACATGTCCTTATTGTATTGATTGGCCTTGGAGACTACTGTCTGGCCCTGTATGTCCTTATTGTATTGATTGGCCTTGGAGACTACAGTGTGGCCCTGTATGTCCTTATTGTATTGATTGGCCGGGGAGACTACTGTGTGGCCCTGTATGTCCTTATTGTATTGATTGGCCGGGGAGACTACTGTGTGGCCCTGTATGTCCTTATTGTATCGATTGGCCGTGGAGACTACTGTGTGACCCTGTATGTCCTTATCGTATTGATTGGCCGTGGAGACTACTGTGTGGTCCTGTGTGTCCTTATTGTATTGATTGGCCGTGGAGACTACTCTGTGGCCCTGTATCTCCGTTTGTATTGCCGTGGAGACGACTGTGTGGCCCTGTATGTCCTTATTGTATTGATTTGCCGTGGAGACTACTGTGTGGCCCTGTATGTCCGTATTGAATTGATTGGCCGTGTAGACTACAATGTGGCGCTGTATGTCCTTATTGTATTGATTGGCCTTGGGGACTACTGTCTGGCCCTGTATGTCCTTATTGTATTGATTGGCCGGGGAGACTACTGTGTGGCCCTGTATGTCCGTTTGTATTGCCGTGGAGACGACTGTGTGGCCCTGTATGTCCTTATTGTATTGATTTGCCGTGGAGACTACTGTGTGGCCCTGTATGTCCGTTTGTATTGCCGTGGAGACGACTGTGTGGCCCTGTATGTCCTTAATGTATTGATTGGCCGCGGAGACTACTGTGTGGCCCTGTATGTCCTTATTGTATCGATTGGCCGTGGAGACTACTGTGTGACCCTGTATGTCCTTATCGTATTGATTGGCCGTGGAGACTACTGTGTGGTCCTGTGTGTCCTTATTGTATTGATTGGCCGTGGAGACTACTCTGTGGCCCTGTATCTCCGTTTGTATTGCCGTGGAGACGACTGTGTGGCCCTGTATGTCCTTAATGTATTGCTTGGCCGTGGAGACTACTGTGTGGCCCTGTATGTCCGTATTGAATTGATTGGCCGTGTAGACTACAGTGTGGCCCTGTATGTCCTTATTGTATTGATTGGCCGGGGAGACTACTGTGTGGCCCTGTATGTCCGTTTGTATTGCCGTGGAGACGACTGTGTGGCCCTGTATGTCCTTATTGTATTGATTGGCCT